AAGTACTTCTGTTCATGTTTGAAATATATATATATATATATGTATATATATATATATATGTGTATATATATATATGTATATATATATTCTCATGACACAAGCTCTATTTTCTCGATTCTTTACTCAGAAGACGTTTATATTTCCATTTTTAATCGGAAAGTTCAACTTCCACTCCTAGGAAAGCAATCGTATATTCCCTCTTGTTTTTTCAGGGGGGTTGGGGGGGGGGCACAGCCCCCTCCCCCCACCCATTTGCAAACACCACGCTCGCATCATGGGTTTGGAAGGGATTCGTATGCTTTGAAGCAAGCTTGCCCGGCTCAAAACAAACGGGGAGGTTGAGGGGGGGGGGGGGGGGGGGGGGGGGGCAGCCCCCCCCCCATTTGCAAACACAACACTCGTATCACGGGCTTGAAAGGAATTCGTATGCTTCGAAGCAAGCTTGCCCGGCTTAAGGGGAGCGCAGCCCACGCCATGTCACTCACTCGCCTGCGGCAGCCCCGGAAATAACGCCCGCGGGAAGGGGCGCGGTATGTTTTTTTGCTGTGGGTCCGGGGCACCTCGCGCCAGGTCACTCACTCACCAGGGGGGGGGGGGGGTCCGGGAAAAAAAGCACCCATAGCAAAAAAACACCACGGGTTCCATGTTTAGGGTTTAGGGTTTTGCAGGTTTAGCGATTCAGGTTTAGGGTTTAGGGTTGGAGCGGCTTGAGTTTTTGTTTTTAGGGGTTAAATAAGGGGGTTGAAGGTCTGAGGGGCTTGGGGATTTTACAGCTTCAGGGTCTCAGGGCGTTTAAGTAAAAAGCCTTATAAGGCTTTAGAGTTTGAAGGTCTCTGGGTTTTAGGGCTCGCGGGCTGAACCCCAAAAAACCGCAGGGTTCTGGGTTTAGGGTTAGGATTTAGGGTATAGGGTTGAGGGTTTAGGTCGCATCCTTCTAGGATAATCTGGCGGTGGGCACTGTGAAACGTCAGGATTTAGGGTTTGCAGCATTTAGGGCTTAGGGTTTAGGGCTTCTGAGATTTGGGGCTCGGTTTAGGTTTGGGGTTTGGGGTTTGGGGTTTGGGTTTGGGGTTTAGGGTTTAGGGTTTAGGGCTGTGGTCCTTGACGGCCTCTACACGCATGGTGCAGAGCTGCCCATCATCGGCCAGCTGCCAGGAGGGCCAGTCCTAAGAGTGGTCCGGGGTTTAGGGTTTAGGGTTTAGGCTTTAGGCTTTAGGCTTTAGGCTTTAGGCTTTAGGGTTTAGGGTTTGAGGTTTAGGGTTTTAGGGTTTTAGGGTTTAGGGTGGTCTTGGAGGTTCTTGGTACCTATAACCCAGTTGTAACCGTACTCAGAACCCACCTATCGGCCCCTTAAGTGCCCTAACATAGTTGTAATGGGGTTACTAAGTATCATGAACCTCCAAGTAGGGTTTAGGGTTTAGGGTCTAGGGGTTATTAGAGGGTTAGGCTTCGTAGGTCTGTAGGGTTCGTAGGGTTTACAGGGCTTAAAGGACTTCGCAAGGATTTGTTTGAAGTTAGGGCTTCTGCACACCAAAATGAAAAGGGCTTAAGATTTAGGGGTTTAAACCAACCTTGAAACCCTAAACTCTATCAACCCTGCTAAAAACCCCATAAACCCTAAGCCCTATAAACCCTAAACCCTGAAAACCATAAACCCTAGACCCTAAACCCCAAAAGACCTGAAAATCCTATAAATTCTATAAACCCTGTAAACCCTATCAAACCCTATACACACTGACCTCTATAAACCCTAAACCCTAAAGCCCCCTAAGCCCTGAGCCCAAAACCCTCTAAGCCGCAAGCCCTAAACCCTGTGAACCCCAAGCCCTAACCCTACGAACCCTAAGCCCTAAACCCTCTCAACCCTCTAAACCCTAAAAGCCCTATAAACCCTAACCCCGTAGACCCTGAGCCCTAAACTGAAAGCCTATGAACCCTAAAAACCCGAGGCTCCTCCTAAAGCCTCTTGGTAGCCCTTTCTGGGGTTAGTTACTTTCATAAGGGAACCCATTGCCCAAAAGGGCAAAAGGGTAGCCCTAAACCCTAAACCCTAAACCCTAAACCCTAAACCCTAAACCCTAAACCCTAAACCCTAAACCCTAAGGTCCAGAAGTTCCCTAAAGCCTCATCTGCTGCGGGTCCAGGCTCGTCGCGGCAGCAGAGGGAGCGCTTGCGGAGGCCGCCGTCCTGCGAGGCCGGGAGCCCCAGAGAGCCCGACGTATACTCCTTAAGGAATATCCCTTAGGGTTTAGGGTTTAGGGTTTAGGGTTTAGGGTTTAGGGTTTAGGGTTTAGGGTTTAGGGTTTAGGGTTTAGGGTTTAGGGTTTAGGGTTTAGGGTTTAGGGTTTAGGCCTTGGATTACAAAGGAACCCCTATGATGATTCAAGGAATATACCATTACAATATAGAGGGATCCTTATGATGATTTAAGGGGTATTGGGCTCGGGTTGCAGGGTCCGGGAGGGCTATGGAACCATACCCAAGGTTATTCGACAGTTTCTTCAAGGGTGATTCAGGGTTCAGGCTTCAGGGTTATGTAATTACCGTTTCAACAGCCACCACAAGCCCCTCAGGTTTGGGAGTTGGGAACCTCCTCAAACAAGAGTACCCTTTTAGGGGCTTCTTTTGCCAGGAATGCAGCGGAGGGGTCCACGATTTTTTGCAAGACCATGTAGTGTTTAGGGTTTGGCTTCTAGGGCTTTCTGGTTCGGGGGCCCCTAAACCCTACAAAAAGTCACCCTGCTTAATAACTACTTGTGCCAAGCCCCCCAGCCCTCCAAGTGGAGGCCTAAACCCTAAACCCCAAACCCGAAACCCTAACCCCTAAACCCTGTACGCAAACTGAGGGAGTGAGCTCAAGTATCCGGGCTATATTTCTTGTATCCCCAAAAGGACACCCGGTATATACACTCACCAACATTAAAAGCAACCTTATATATACTCACCGAAGGCAGTAATATGAACCCTACTTCATATACATCTTGCAACTGAGTTCTACAAGCCCCTACTGCATGGACCCTTTTGAACCCACATCCTAAACCCTACAGTTCAGGGTTTAGGGCTCTAGGCTTTAAACCCTGAACCCCAGATCATAAACCCCGAAGCTGTGCCCCCTGCTAGGCCTTCTCAAAGGAGGCGTCGGAGGTCTCCTAGGTTGCTCCTTAACTTACTTCTCCAACAACCCAAACAAACTCGAACTTTGTCATTCCTACAAGGTGCGGAAGTGCAAAACGCCTAAATCCGCCTGAAGTTCATCTGTTGCCTAAGTAAGTTAAGACGAAGTGCTAAGTAAAACGGTTGAGAAGGAACCCGGGGAGCCTGAACCCAAAGCACTGATAAACCCAAAACAACCCAAAGCCCTTAAACCCTTAAACCCCTCAACCCAAGGGCTGCGGGTGCGGGGCGCGGTCTTTTTTTTGCTGCGGGTGCGGGGGGCGCGTTTTTTTTTTTTTTTTTTGCTGCGGGTGCGGGGGCGCGCTTTTTTTTTGTTGCGGGTGCCGTGGGGGCGCGTTCTTTTTTTTGCTGCGGGTGCGGAGTGTTTTTGCTGTTTTCTCTATCTTTTACTGTGAAGACCTCTATTTTCTCTAATTTTTAATAGGAAAACCTCTTTCTTCTCTATATTTGAATATGAAAACCTCTATTTTCTCTACATTTAGCATGAAAACCTCTAGTTTTTCTAATTTCTCTATACTTGAATACGAAAACCTCTATTTCTCTATATTTTAGAACGAAAACCTCTACTTCTCTCTATTTTTGTCTATATCGTCATAGTTTTCCCCTATACTTAATGAGGAAGACATGAGAGAGGAATACATGAGAAACTAATTCTCTGTGTTATCTCAAAATGTGACTTTTTTTTAAAGGGTGCGAGGCTGAGGGTTGTTTCGGGTTTGGGGTTTAGAGTTGTTCAGGGTTTCGGGATGTCTAGGGCTTAGGGTTGTGTGGTGTTTAGGGTTGTTTGGGATTTAGGGCTGCTCAGGGTTTAGGGTCGTTTAGGGAATATGGTTGTTCAGGGTTTGGTGTTGTTTAGGGTTTAGGGTTAGGGTTTAAGGTCCTTCAGTGACAAGGGTCTCTTAGGGAGGGTTTAGGGTTGTTTAGGGTTTAGGATTGTTTTGGGTTTAGGCTTTTTTGGGGTTTACGGTTGTTTTGGGTCTAGGGCTATGTAGGGTTAAGCCCTTGGGGGAACCCGTGTTTTCTTTTGTTGTGGGTGAACCCAAACCCAACGAACCCTCATTTCCCAAACCCCAACCCCCAAACCCCAAACCCCAAACCCTAAACCCTCAACCCCTAAACCCCAAAACCCCTAAACCCAAAACCCCAAACCCTCAAACCCTAAACCCCAAACCCCAAACCCTAAACCCCAAACTCCAAAACCCCAAACCCGAAAACCTCAACCCCAAACTCCCAAACCCCAAACCCGAAACCCTCAACCCTCAACCCTCAACCCTAAACCCTAAACCCTAAACCCTAACTGAAAAGCCCGGCTTCGATGAACTCCCGGAGCTCCAGGTGGAGGGTCAGGAAGCCCGCGCCTCTTGTGATCCCAGCTTAGGGCATTTGAGGGTTTAGGGTTTAGGGTTTAGGGTTTAGGGTTTAGGGTTTAGGGTTTAGGGCTAGGGTCTAGTGGCTGAGGGCTTGAGGGTTTAGGGTTTAGGGCTAGGGTTTAGGGTTTAAGGCTTTGGGTTCAAGGCTACCCCCCCTCAGTTCCCCCTGAAGTAACCTTAGTTAGGCTTAATGATCCCTAAATTGGCGCAAGTATGGGGGGAACCTAGGGGAGTAGTATAGAGGGGGGTAGAAGGGACACCCATGAAGAGCCCAAACTAAAACACCAAGCAACGAAAAAAAAAAACACACCTCACCGGAAGGGCCTCCCCCCCATATCATTCTGGGTCTATTCCTTCAACGCGGGGGGTTCTTCAGGCTCTAGGGTTCAGGGTTCAGGGTCTAGGGTTTAGGGTTCAGGCTTCAGGGTCTAGGGTTTAGGGTTCAGGGTTTAGGGTTTAGGGTTCAGGGTTTAGGGGAAGCTGTGAGGGGCCTTCCAAAGCTGTGGGAAGGAGCCCCTTGGGTGCCCCCTGGCACAGCAGGGCCGCGTCCACGCGCACCTGGTTTCGGGCTTGGGGACTGGTAGGGTTTAGGGTTTAGGGTTTAGGGTTTAGGGTTTAGGGTTTAGGGTTTAGGGTTTAGGGTTTTGGGTTTTGGGTTTTGGGTTAGGTTTAGGGTTCAGGGTTTAGGGTTTAGAGCTGAGGGTTTCGGGTTTAGGAGTCTTGGGTTTGGGGTTTCGGGCTTCGGGTTTGGGGTTAAGGAGCCCAGGGTGTCGGGTTTACCGTAAGTCAGATTCAGGATGCCTATAGAGTTTAAGTTCCTTCCGGTATCTTCCGGCTCCGGCCCGAAACTCTCCTAATGAAGAGGCATAGGGAGGGACCCTGGAAGGGACCCCTTAATCTTATTCCCCCTTAAACCCCCTCATATGTACCTTATATCGTCCCTATATACCTAAGTGTAGCCCCTAAATGAACCCCCTCATATGTACCTTATATCGTCCCTATATACCTAAGTGTAGCCCCTAAATGACCCCCAAGGATTCCCTCTAGGGGTCCCTTGTCAGGGTCTCTCCGGTAGTCCCTTGACCTACACCGCAGAGACGTTTACTTTTATAGCAAGGGAACCCAGAACCCACAAAGGGGCAAAGGGTACCACTCAGCTACCAAGATATTCAGACAAGCCCCAAACAAGCAAAAAAAAACTCTGAATCCGGAAGCGATGGGATAAACACACGACAAGCCCGGACACCTCAACAGTAACCTCAGCAACCTTCCACCCCCTAAATCCCCTAAACATTCTGACCCTAAACCCTAAACCCTAAACCTGAAAACACACTCCCGTGGGAAGCAGCCAGCGTGCCTGGCAGCGTTCGCCCCGGCGCATGGACAAGAGCGCCTACGCAAACCATATTGGGAGGATCTAGAACCTTCGGGGGCCAAATAACCCCTAAACCCTAAACCCTAAACCCTAAACCCTAGAATCCCTTTTCCAGGTATATGAATCATAAGCCCCTTCAGGGTTCATTTTTGGCCTAGAAGAGGTGCGCTTTTCTGAGCCCTCAACCCCGTTCTTGGAAGCCCAAAAAGCCCCAATCGTGGGATCCTCAAAGGCCCTGCAGCCCAACAGGCTGGGTGTGTTCAGGGTTTAGGGTTTAGGGTTTAGGGTTTAGGGTTTACGGCTTAGGGTGCAAGGCCTCATGGTTTAGGGCCCCGCTGATGGCACGCGCGGAGGCTTTCCTGTTGTAAGGCTCGAGTGCCTCTAATATAGGGGTCGGAATCGTTATTCTTTCATCTTCCCTTATGGTCCGAATATATTGATACAAGAATACCTAATAACCCCCCAAAACCTTATTCTAATTGTTTAGGCCCCTATATTAATCCCCCCTACTCGCTAGTATGAAATACTCCCATTATTCTTTATATATTAGTATACAGGGAATTTAATTTTAGGGGGAGGTTCATGTAGGGGGAGGGGAGTACCCGGCTTCACAGTCTGGAAAGATGCTTGTGGTTTGGTTCAGGCCTTCGGGTTCATGGGTTCGTGGTACCTGGGAGGACGGGGAGGGCGGGGAGGGAGGGGAGGGCGGGGAGGGGGGCTACACTCCAAACCCTATAAACTTTCCCAAGCCCCGGTTGGGCGGGGGGGTTCCGGGTCCAGAAGAATTCCGGGCGCCGCCAGGGTTTAGGGTTTAGGGGGCGCAAAGGTTCAAAGGGCGGAGATGCGTGTCCGTGTCGCCCCCACCTTGTCCATGAGCTTCCATCCCTCCTCTGGATTTTGGATTTCTGGAAGTTTTTACCTGAATTACGCGGGAATCTTTCGTAATTACGATTTTAAGGCACATGTTCCTCAATCGAGGGTCTTTCGGCTTAGTGCTCCATCAGATTTTTGTTGATTTGTTATTATTAAAATTTATTCAGTATTTTTTGGGGTGGTATTCCATGCAAATGCAGGCTCATAGCGCTTGGAGTTGAAGAGGTTCGCCAAAAGCGCCCAACCTCCTGTAGCTAAGGAGTATACCCCCAAGTTCTCTCGGGATCCTTAGTCTGACTCATGAAGGCATAGTGTTGCAGTCAATTGAGTTCCTTTACCCGCTAGAATCACAAGTTTTCCCGGAATATTCTGCCAACTGAGTTCGTTGCGGCCACACGCTCTAATCGCAAGAATTTGGGGTGTAGCCCTAAACCCTAAACCCTAAACCCGAAACCCTGAACCCTAAACCCTAAGGTTTTGGAATTCAGGCAGCTGCAGTCTGAGGCTCCTTTCTTTCCTTCTGGTTCTGGTTCCGAAAACTCTCTGGTGCAGAGCTCTCTAAATCTTCCGGGTTTCGGGTTTGGGGTTTAGGGTTCAGGGTTCGGGTTTAGGGTTTAGGGTTTAGGGTTCAGGGTTTAGGGTTTATGGTTTATGGTTTAGGGTTTAGGGTTTAGGGTTAGGGTTCCATGGGCTCGAGGAAGCTTCGGGGCCCACAGGCCCGGATTAGGATTCAGGGTCTATTGTTGAGGGTGTAGGGTTTAGGGTTTACGGTTTGTTTAGGGGGGTTTAGGGTTTCGGGGTTCAGGGTGCGGTCCTGGATATGGGAGTACTTGGAGGTTCAAGGTACTTCTAACCCAGTCATAACTGTACTTACAATAACCCACTGGTAAGGCCCTGAGTGCCCACCATGGGTATACTTGGGTTATAAGTACAGTTACAATCGGGGGCTTTAAGTACCATGAACCTCAGAACCCTTTAAAGGAGGTAAGGGACCACGTCAATTGTCCATGTACCCTCAGAGCAAAGTTCCCGCAAAGCTCTGCCCAGCCATCTTCTTCCTTTCTGCTTACTCAGTCCTCAACCTTCTGGCACCACGTAACCTCTAGTTGGAACTGCACTCATTCGAACACGAACGTGGCAGGGGAATGTCTTAAATTCAACAGAGAAAGACTGAAGCCTAAACCCTGAACCCTGAACCCTGAACCCTGAACCCTAAACCCTGAACCCTAAACCCTAAACCCTAAACCCTAAACCCTACACCTACAAAGACTGGAAGAAGGCCTCAGGGATCAACGGATCTCGAAATCTCAGGGAACCCCCAGAAACCTGAAAGATCATGACCCCTCAACTACTGCTTACCAACCCCCCATAACATGGAGGGTTTAGGGTCAGGGATTTAGGGTTTAGGGTTTAGGGTTTAGGGTTTAGGGTTTAGGGTTTAGGGTTTAGGGTTTAGGGTTTAGGGTTTAGGGTTTAGGGTTTAGGGTTTACGGTTTAGGGTTTAGGGTTTAGGGTGAGGGATTTAGGGTTTAGGGCTCAGGGTTCAGCGTTTAGGGCTACAAAACGAGAATCACCCCTATCATTGCCCCCGCTAAATCTCACTCCAACCCCCCCCCCCCCCCCCCCACACAAAAAAAAAAAAAATCCTTGATGCCGAATTCGAAGCGATGTGAGCTTTCCAGTGGCGGCATGTCCTCTGTTGCCACAGGGTCAGGGCTTGGAGAGTAGGGCTTTGGGCTTCGGGTTTAGGGTCTCTAAGCCCTAAACCCTAAACTCGAAGCCATCGGAGGGGCCAAGTGCATTCCCCGTCTGCGGGTGCGGGTACCGGTGGTGTTTTAGGCCTCTTGCAAACGCTGGCTAGGTTTTAGGGCTTGGGCTTGGGGATTTAGCGTCTCAGGCCTACATGTCGCCCCTGCGACGATCGTGGACTCACACCCAAAAGCCCTCAACCTGTCAACCCTACACCCTGAAACCTGCACCCAACAACCTTACACTCTAAAGCGCTTGTGCCCGTGACATGCTAGACCCTAAGCCCTCAACGCTAGAAAATTGGGGGCTGGCCACAAGATGTCCTCAATGACATGTTCGAGCTCGTCCCGCGTCCAAAGCCTTCCACTATCTGAATCTTCGGGTTCCTGTTATTGGGTTTAGGGTTTAGGGTTTAGGGTTTAGGGTTTAGGGTTTAGGGTTTAGGGTTTAGGGTTTAGGGTTTAGGGTTTAGGGTTCATTCGGTCCATCTTAAATGTGGCCAGGAGCTCGAAACAAGCGTCTAAACTCTTAAAATCGGTCCCTAGGAACTCGAAGCAAGCGATTGCGAGGGGACCCCCGAAGCTTCTTAAACATGTGAAGTCCTGAAGAATATTTTTGACTCGTGACACGATCTTTTTCGCAATTTAAGTTTAAAAGTTCTATCGGCTAATAATTTCTAAGACTCCACCTGTTGAAGAATTATGTCTAATTCTTGAAATCGGTTCCATAATAAATTCAGTTTATCCTCATTTCCCGCATACATGTATATACCTCGAGAAATACATAAATAGAAATATACCCGCATAATGTGTACAAACTCGAAAAATTGGGATGCGATCCTCTTGTTGAAAAATAATAGTTTGTCATGTTCATGCCGAGCGTGCTGTTGAATCGAGGATGTGAGCACACGCCTGCGCGATGGCTTTGAAGGAACTCTTCTCGACGTCCACCCTTCCTTCTCTCCACAATCCCACAGCACAAGCACAACATGATGCACCCCGCCCCGGGAAAAAAAACCAAAACACACCCAGCATAAACCCAAACACCATAAAGGGGGCCACCATAACAAATAGAGAATGTCGGCACCGAGCAAAGTCGTACCAAAAATACATGGGGCCTGAAAGACAGATGTGTTGCCCTCAGCCCTCAACCTTCCGTGGGATGCGCGATGAACGGGCCTTCAGCCAGGCTCCCTAAACCCTAAACCCTACTGAGAAAGGCTGGCCTAGGTACCTGAACCGACTAATTGCCAGGATCAACGTATCAATTTAAGGTGACCGGCCGTCGGCCACCCTGGGTCAACCAGAGGGTTTAGGGTTTAGGGTTTAGGGTTTAGGGTTTAGGGTTTAGGGTTTAGGGTTTAGGGTGCCCCATCCCCCTGTAATGAGCAGGCGTCTCGTTACAGCTGTCACAGCTTACAGTTCTTGGCCCAAGGCCGGATGCATAAACACTCTCACACCCTAAACCCTCAACCCGAAGCACCCTAAACCCTAAACCCTAAACCCTCAACCCTCAAACCCCAAACCCTAAACCCCCCCAAAAATGAAACAAAACAACAAAAACTGCAGCGGAGGAGCTGGGCACCTCCCTCCTCGCTATGCAGGGCGCAGCGCACGAGGCACACTTGCCCGATGATGGGCCTCCCCGGGGTTTAGGGTTTAGGGTTTAGGGTTTAGGGTTTAGGGTTTAGGGTTTAGGGTTTAGGGTTTAGGGTTTAGGGTTTAGGGTCTAGGGTTTAGGACAGTACAAGGGTTCGGGTTAAGGGCTTCAGGGATTCAGGGTCTAGGGTGGAGGGTGTAGGGTTTAGGTTTGGGAGTCTGATGGGTTCAGGGTTTCTGGGCTTATAGGACTTCTACAAAGGGTAGGGTGTGGGGTCTAAGGGGTTAAGGGTTTCAGGGTTGAAAAGGCTTAAGGGCTTAGGCTTAGGGGTTGTGGTTTAGCGGGTTAAGGGCTTCAAACATGGCTTTAGGACTTGTGGGCTGTGGGGTTTCAGGGCTGTTTACGACTAAGACCTGCAGGGGTTTGGAGTCATGCTCGGGAACTCTAAACCCCAAACCCTAGACCCTAAACCCTAAACCCTAAACCCTGAATCCTTCGGCAATCCAGTGGCCTGCGGCGGTCGTCACCCCGGTGCAGCAAGCTCTTGACGGCGCGCCCGTCCTCCGACAGGTTTTGGATTCGGGGTTTGGGGGCTTCGCAGGTCTCCAAGCCCTAAAACCCTACAACCCTCTCCCTTAAACTCCGGCGGGGAACTACTTACAAGGCCTCCGATCCTCCGAGTTCCCAGCGTTGACCCCTAAACCCGACTAAACCCTGAAACCCTAAACCATACTGAAGCCTTACATATGTTCCCCCTTGCAGTCCTTAAAAGGGATTATAGTAGTTATAGTACCCCCTATTCAAAATTCTAATCCCTATTAAGGACTGTGATTTTATGAGGAGCATCCCAGCCCAGCGCCGGGCCTGAAACAAATCCACCCTTGGGGTCCAGTCCGCCAGCGTCAGCTCCAAAGACGTCGGCAGGCCGTCGCCCTGGGGGGTTTGTTTAAGGGGGGCTTAAGGGTTTTAGGGGCGTTACGATGGGGGTGGGAGTCATTACTAATTATTACTAATTATACTCCCTTATGGTCCCTATATAAATATACAATAAATTTTAAATACCCCCCCCACCAAAAAAAAAACAACCGATTAAGGTCCCAATATTGGAGGTTTCGGGTTTAGGGTTCGATGGTTAGGGTTTTGGGAGGGTTTCGAATTCAGGGTGTAGGGTTCAGGGGTGGCTGGGTGGCTTTGGGAGAGTTTGGGGGTTGGGGGTCTAAGGAGGCGGTCTCCGTACTTTTTTTAAAGATATCTTCATGGTTTAGGGTTCAGGGTTTAGGGTGTACAGTCTGAGGGTTTCGGGGTTAAGGTTTAGGGTTTAGTTGTCCAGTTGTTCCTTTTTGCTTTTGGGTCTTGGGGGGGGGATTGGAGGGCTTATGGCTTAGGTGGGGCTTAGAATGTAGTTAGGGCTTTGGGTTCGTGATTGTTATACCGTAGAGCTCTAGAGTTGTTGGGGTCTAGGGCTAGGTGGTCAGGCTTGGTCGCCCCTGAGGTAACCCTTTTTTTGGTGTCAGTTACTTTTACCAGGGAACACTAACCCCTAAACCCCAAACCCTAAACCCCAAACCCTAAACCCTCAACCCTAAACCCCCACTCAGCTACCCCACTGGCTGGGCTTGGGATCTTTCAAGCTTTTTGGGTTGAGGGTGAGTGGAGTTGGGGGCCGGGTTTAGGGTTTCAGGAGTCAGGGTTTGGGGATTCGGGTTTCAGGGTTGAGGGGTACTAGGGTTTCAGGGTTGAGGACTTTAGGGTTGGGCAATGGCTTGGGTTGTTTCCAGCACGCTGCAAGCCGCACAAACCCTCAAACCCTAAAACCCTGAACCCTAACCCTCAAACCCCCTAAAGCCTAAACCCTCAACCCTGAACCCTAAACCCTGCCTCTACGCTCTGTCCGAAGTGGAACTTCGCCACCTCCAGCTGGTCGCTTTACAAGATGCCAGTCGTAAGCCCTAAATGGCGGGCTTGGACTTTTGGTGTTGGGTTTTGGGGGTTTGCATGAACCCTAAACCCTAAACCCGAAATGCTCCTGAAGCGCTCCTAGTGGAGGGGAGGAGACACCTGAAAAGTTTTAGGGAAGCTCAGGGAGCCCTCAGGGGCTAGGGAAGATTTGGGAACCAAGGGCCAGAGTAGTTTAGGGTTTAGGGTTTAGGGTGTAGGGTTTGGGGCTATGGGTTTAGGGGTTTAGGGGTTACGGTCTAGGGTTTAGGGTTTATAGGGTGTAGTGTAGTTTAGGTCTTGGCATTTCGACCACGCCTGAACCCTCCCTAAACCCTAAACCCTGAACCCTAAACCCTAAACCCTAAACCCCCCCCCCCCCCCCTCTAATAAACATCCTAAAAACATCTCCCAACGCTCCTGGA